AATTTTTTTTTCCTATGTTTGTCCCTCTGCCCTGTCTCACTCTCCCATTACAATATCCCTGCTATATACAGTTGTCTTCCAGAAGAGTTACTGAAAAAGTGATACATACAAGTAAAGGGAGAGAGGCCACGAGTTCCAACCATCAGCTCATAAAGTTTTTGGCAATAGGGAGCATAAACTCCACTCAGGGTTGGATTAAGGGAGGGTCTCCTGCAGATCCACAAGTGTAGGTGAGTCTCCAGGGAATGCAGTTTCAGGAAAGCAGTTCTGGTACGCAGGGATGATTATCAGCTGATGCGGCACAGCAGTCATCTTGTAGTTACCAGGAATGGTGTTGTGGGGATCTGCAGTGTTAGTTGTCCTCGGGCATCTGGCTTCCCCAAGAATGAAAGAGTAGTTCTTGTTCTTCCCCGAGGCAATGCAGGGCTGGCAACCATCATCTTCTCACTGTCCATAGGCAGAGAACATCCTCCCATACAATATACTTCTCATTTGGTTTAAGAGAGCCAAAGATTTTTTTTTTTCTGTTGCTTACAATTGCAAGCTCTTCATCCTTGTTCTCGGCCTCAGCCTGCTGCCTGCGGTCGAGGGCCACTCCTCGCAGGCCCCGGGGCCACGCGCAGGCCCGGAGGCCACGCGCAGGCCCGGTGGCCACTCGCAGATGCAAGCCGCAGATGCAAGTCGGGCCATCCAGCTCCGGAGGGGGGCCGGCCGTGCGCTCACCAGACATACAGAGAAAGACATAGAGATAGACAGCGAGAAATCACCCCCCAGGGGGGATGGTCACACCACAGTCCCTTCTCCATTCTCCTCTCAGGATCTTGGGCACGCACGCACACACACCCGGTGTGAGTTTTAAGCCACCGGGTCCGGGACGCGAACCGCGGTCGGCTACGTGGGAGTCCAGCGACATAGCCATTACGCTAACTGCTGGTTCCCACCTCCAAGTTATTTTTCATCCCATCTTTCATATGCTTCAATACTATTCTTCCAGATCTTTTAGACCTGAATACTTACTCTTGTCTGGGCTTCTGCATGAGGCCTTCCTCTTGTTTGGGATAGTTTTACACCATCTCTAAATGACATCCCAGCCCCCTCCTACAGCAATCTTTCTTGTCTCTGATATCTCAGTGGTTTGTGCTATGGCACCATCATTTGTATCACTCATTTCACACATCGTGTTCCACATGGTGGTTTTAATTAGCATTTCGTGTGTCTGTATGTGTCACCTCTTTAACATGATGAAGACGAAGATCAGCCGAGTCTTTCTCAGCTTATTTTCTGTGTCACCAGGAGTGCACACACAGTACCTTGTGCTTTATCATTTTGCCACTTCCTTGACTTGGGCCCGCCCTACTCTTTGCTAGTGCTGTGAGAGTAGTCTCTTGCTTGCCATAATATTGCCTCTGCTTTCTTCCAGGCTGTTCTCCACAAGGTTGCATGCTGGGGCTTCCTAAAATGCACACCAGGTTGTACCACATTCTCTCTTAACTCTGCCACTGGCGAGGCCAGTAGGTGGCAGAGTGGTTGAGGTGCTGGACTCTCATGTGGTCCACCGCAGTTGAGTCCTGGTTCCGGTGGCTTCAGAAATCACACTGGGCACATGTGTGTGCATGCTCAAGATCCCAAAAGGAGAATGAAAGA